TATAAATCAAGGTAGCCGTTAACACTGTTAAATCATATATAAATCATCAAAGAAAGGTAAATACAGTGTTTGAATAAAGGACATAAAATACATCGTGTAGCATAGCTCGCAACGAATGTAGTCCTGTAAATAAAAGAATAAAGAAATTGTGTAATAAAATGCCTCTGGCGGGACTCGAACCTGCGACCTCTCGCCTTGACAGCCATGAGTTCAGTGGCGATCCAGCACTGGGGTAAAAGTGAAGAGCTTGATTATTTACCACTTATTTACAAAAACCATGGTGGGGCTGAGGTGGGCGTGGCGGCGAGACCATCATATGTTCCCCCACCCCCCTACTCCCCGGTCAGAAATTCTCTGGATCCGCCCCTGCCACCCCATGAAAAGTTGCGAGACGTTAGTGGCGCTGATTCCAAATAGACCATCAGATCAAGACTCGATAAAATGATGTAGTGTTTCGTTATTATTATGCTTAACTCGCTCATTATAACTCTTTTGAAGAAAATTAAGGAAATAGTATTATATTTTGTAGTCTGTTCAAAATTAAAGTATAGCATTAACATTTGTAAAACAGGTTTCAAGTTTCTCCTGATATGCATTGCATTGTGAAATTATTGTATGTTATATACACAAAAGAAAACTGAAGTTTAATATCTTAAACAAATTGTATGATCTTTGTCCTAATACTTCGTCAAATGGAAAAAAAGCCGGGGGGGAAGCCGGGGGTGGGGGGAGGTTTGAATATTTCTAATAAATTTAAGACGATATATTTCACAATAGCAAGTTCTGAGCAGTCTCAGTTGATACCGATACACTCCATGATACAGACTGCTGTTACAGTGGCCCTATTCATTGCTTATAGTAGTAATTACCAACATGTACAGCAGCTCTCTTTTTACTTTGCAAGTAGCCTCGAAAAAGAAGCCCCATCTTAACAGGAGTCCATCTCGAACCATACAAATTTCGCAAAAAAGAAGCCTGGGGCAAGGTTTTACGGTACTATAGTGAAAATGGAGAAAATTATACCATATATCAATATCAATAGTAAAAGATCATTTATGAAGCCTAGATCTTTGTCAATACCAATTGCATGAGTGCTAAATTTAAGAATTCACTGAAGTTCAGCTGTCCTTCGAAAGAGGTACATTTATTTTAGTATCTTAAAATATTGTTTTGTGATTGTAAAGGAAGCGGAGTGTACTGTAGGATTCTAGCAAAGCGTATACAATAATATCACAAATACACAGACCTGTTTGATGCATTACATGTTTAATCAGTATTAAAATACCGGTACCTGTTTACTACATTTCTGAAAGCTAAACAAATAAACGAAGCGGCTTCTAATTGCAACGTCAAAAAACACGTTTATCTAAGATATAAATATTTAAGTAGGCCTATTAGCTTCTCTATTTAGCATTGCTCTCACACCAATGTTATGCACACTGTCAGAGGCAGATCCAGGGGCTCACGGGGCCTGTGCCTAACCCCCGTCAGTCCCACTGAAAAAAAAAGAGGGAGAAAAATGTAAAGGAGAGGAAAAGGCAGTGTAACCATGAGTTTAGTGGCTGGTCCAGCAATGTGAGGAGAGCTTGATTTTTAACTCTCACTAAATTTTGATTTTAAATTGATTGACGACGAACCCAATACAACAATGCTATATACCAGACGCTGATTTTTTCCCCACAAATTTCATAAATCAGGATGTAAAAAAGGCCAAAAGAAACCCCTACACCTGCCATGAGTTTAGTGGCTGGTCCAGCAATGTGAGGAGAGCTTGATTTTTAACTCTCACAAATTTGGATTTTAAATTGATTGACGACGAACCCAATACAACAATGCTATATACCAGACGCTGATTTTTTCCCCACAAATTTCATAAATCAGGATGTAAAAAAGGCCAAAAGAAACCCCTACACCTGTCAATTTTTTTTAATGAATAAAATTTTAAAATTGCAAGTCTGAATGAGTACCGATTCTGGGCATTTTTGAGGTGTCATAATCATAGTTTGCTTTGCAAATCCCAGTAGAATCACTAAAATAAGTCTTCGAATAGACCTTTGGACGCCCATGAGGTGATGGGTATCAAGGAAAGGGTAGCATAGCTCCCTTCGATAGGAATTAAATAATTTTGTCGAGGAACCCTGCTTTTTACCATCTGAGATTCATTTCCGAGCTTCTAGATTCTTAAAATTTGCTCACGCTCCAACCATGATGGGGTAGAGGTATGTGTGGCCTACTCTGCCAGAATCAAGTGGGGCCTAGCCAGGCCGACCCCGCTCCCCTTAATTTTGTTCAAAACTTTTTGAAGAAAATCTAGAAAAAAAGGGAAATTTATAATCGAATTTAGATATATGATTGCCATTTCCCCATAGAGGTGTAATAATCATACACTGTTTTTTCCTCAGCCCCGATCAAAATCCATCACTGCACTTCACTCTATTTTGAGATCCTGGATCCACCACGGACTACCTATTGCTCCCCCAGGGAATTTCTGGATCCGCCCCTGACTGTCCAAAATAAGAGACCAATTGGATGATTTAATTTTTTATAGGTCAAATGTCATGATGTCATGTGGCTTTTAACGAGTAAGATACCATAAAGTGAAAAAAAAATGTTCATATAATAGTGTATAATTGTGTACAATGAATACATGGTCAATATCTCTAACACTTTGGAAAATACTTTAGTGATTTTACAGGTGTTTCTTAAATTTTAAGTATAAAAAAATTGTAATTACTCTCTGATACGCAACTTGTTGTATTAGTCTTTGTACGTGATGTGCATTTAAAGTCTTTGATCAATTACCGGTAGTACAGTATATACTGAAACATCAGTCTTGCCATATCCGACGTAATAGCCTATACAAAAAACAGTATCTTACCATTACTCTATTTCATTGTAATAGTTTTTTGTAAACGGAGTCAACTAGAGCCTATATGTAGTTGTAATTTAAAAATTTAAGCCCATAAAGTAGCAAAAAATATGTATTGAACCGTCTAGTCTTGCCATATCCGACGTATAGGCCTACAAAAACACCATATCTTAAAATTATTCTAAAATAGTTTCTTTAAATGGAGTCAACTCTATATACTTATAATTCAAATTCTTAAAAACGTAAAATAAAAACTAAAGCCTGTTTTTTATTAGACGAATATTCCATTAGTCGAATATACTGTACTTGCACAAATCAACAATTTTCGCCTATACGCATGCACAGTTTAATATTCATTCACCTAGTGGTAAATGGCCTTTAAGCCGACAAGTAGCAAAAAATATGTATTGAAACGTCTAGTCTTGCCATATCCGACGTAGTATACAAAACTATCAAACCAATATTTTAAACATTTCATTGTAATAGTTATTGTAAACGGCGTCAACTATATAGGCCTATGCTTGTACTTTAAATTCTTAAAATTTAATTTCTCAAAAACTTAAAATGAAAACTTAAGCCTGTATTAGCAAAAAAAGTATGTATTGAAACGTAAGGTCTTTCCATATCCAACATACTAGAAAACACCACATCTTACCATTATTCTTAACATTTCATTGCAATAGTTTCTGTAAACAGAGCCCATTATATATACTTGTAATTTAAATTCTTGAAAACTTAATAAAAATTTAAGTCCATAAGTAGTAAAAATATATTGAAACGTCTAGTTTTGCCATATCCGACGTACTATGAAACTATCATACCATTAACAACATTTTTAACGAGTAAAATACCATAAAGTGAAAAAAAAATGTTCATATAATAGTGTATAATTGTGTAAAATGAATACATGGTCAATATCTCTAACACTTTGGAAAATACTTTAGTGATTTTACAGGTGTTTCTTAAATTTTAAGCGTAAAAACATGGTAATTACTCTCTGATACGCAACTTGTTGTATTAGTCTTTGTACGTGATGTGCATTTAAAGTCTTTGATCAATTACTGGTAGTACAGTATATATTGAAACGTCAGTCTTACCATTATCTTACCATTATTCTAGTCAACTAGGGCCTATGTGTACTTGTAATTTAAATTCATAATTTAAAATAAAATTTAAGCCCATATATAAAGTAGCGAAAAAGTGTGTATTGAACCGTCTAGTCTTGCCATATCCGACGTATACAAAAACACAACACCTTAAAAATATTCTAAAAATGTCACATAGAAATAGTTTCTTTAAATGGAGTCAAAACTATATAGGACTACTTATAATATAAATTCTTAAAAACTTAAAATAAAAACTAAAGCCTGTTTTCTACTAGACGAATATATACCGTATTCGCACAAATTGAAAATTTTCGCCTATACGCATGCGCAGTTTAACATTCATCTTGAAAGTCTCTTGCGTATGCGTATGGGTAAAAATTGTTGTGAAAATTCGCCTAGTGGAAAACGGCCTTTAAGCCCATAAGTAGTGAAAAATATGTATTGAAACGTCTAGTCTTGCCATATCAGACGTACTATACAAAACTATCAAACCAATATTTTAAACATTTCACTGTAATAGTTATTATAAATGAAGTCAACTATACTTGTAATTTAAATTCTTAACAATTTAAAATAAACATTTAAGTTATACTGTATAAGTAGTGAAAATTGTGTATTGAAACGTCTAGTCTTGCCATATCCGACGTACTATGAAACTATCATACCATTATTTTAAACATTTCATTGTAATAGTGTCTGAAAACAGAGCCAGCTATATATACAGTACTTATAATTTAAATTCTTAAAAACTTAATAAAAACTTAAGTCCATAAGTAGTAAAAATGTATTGAAACGTCTAGTCTTGCCATATCCGACGTACCATGAAACTAGCATACAATTATTTTAAACATTTCATTGTAATAGTTTCTGTAAACAGAGCCAAATATATTACTTGTAATTTAAATTCTTGAAAACTTAAAATAAAAACTTAAGCCCATAAGTAGTAAAAATGTATTGAAACGTCTAGTTTTGCCATATCCGACGTACTATGAAACTATCATACCATAACCAACAGTTCATTGCAAGTCAATTATATACTTGCAACTTTTAAATTAAAAACTTTGCCTATAAGTAGCAAAAAGTATGTATTCAAGCGTCTAGTCTTACCATATCCGACATACTATACAAAACTATCATACCATTATTTTAAACATTTCATTGTAATGGTTATTGTAAATGGAGTCAACTTTATATACTTGTACCATACTTCAAATTCTTAAAAAACTTAAAATAAAAAGCTCATAAGAAGCAAAAAAGCATGTATGGAAACGTCTAGTCTTGCCATATCCGACGTAATACATAAAACAATATTATACCACTTGCTGGGCATTTCATTGAAATAGTTTTTGTAAACTTAGGCCTACATGTAGCCAAAAACATTAGGTTGTACTGGGATCCCAGGTGCTCCCGAAGAAAATTCTTACCAACATNTAAAAAAATACCATAAAATATAAATATATATATATATATATATATATATATATATATATATATATTATAATAATCAATGATTTAACAATAGCCATATAGGTAAAATTTCTTTATTAATTTTGTTATTTCATTGTAAAAAATGATGTAACAATAGCCATAAAGTTAACATTTCATTAAAAAATAATTCAATTAAAAGCATGTGATCTATTTGACCGCATAGCTTAAAAAAACACTATCATATTTATTAATGTGATAGAATGAATAAAATTAATTAAATTGAATTGCGTATGGGGCTTGTTCCGTGACTACCTCTGGCAGCCGTAAGGAGGCACTTATAGTAGCTACATGTTCAAATTATTCTACAACAACAGGGGCTGAAATGATAACTGCCTACTCTTCCGAAAAATGGAATGGGTTATTTAAAGTGCACACGATGCAGATATGTACACTGGACCTCATTTTAAAGTCCTTATCCAAGAGGAATTGGTTCTACCAACTGAACCGTGGGCAAAGAGCGGCTGAACCAACGCGGATGTTAAGGCTGTTGCTAGCGGCGGCTCTGCCTTACTGCTCAGCCACTCGATCGCCTCTAATAATTTGACAAATACTTTGAAGATGTTAGTGTTTTATTTCCTCAAAAAAGAAGTGCGGTGAAACACAAGTAGTTGTATCTTTCAATTAGTACAGTACGGTATAGGCCTATATTGAAATGCCTAGTCTTGCCATATCTGACGTAATACATGCCTATACCCTAAACTACTATTTAGGATGAAGATATATATATATAATATATCTAATATATAA